GAGTCTGGCACAGCCTGGTACATCATTGATCTCCTGGCAGTGTCTCCTCCATGAGGATCGCTTGGCTTTCCTTATTTCTTTATTGTAACAGGTAAGGGCTTCCTTGTAGGTGTCCCACTGCCATGTTCTTTTAGCTGAATTAAACAGCCTTCTTGTTTTGATCCTAAGCCCACTCAGCTGTTTATTCCACCAAGGTGTTCTCCTTGGTCCGCGAGTGGTCTTAGCCGGGCAATTCTGATTAAAGGATGAGATAATAGCCTGTTGCAACTGGTCAACAGACCGATCAACATCCTTTATTGTGCATATATTATGTGAGATGGTCTCAAGATTTACCTTTAGGTCGTCCTTGTAAGACTCCCAATTGGTTCTCTTAGGATTCCTATAAGTAGCTTGATCTACTGTAATGTTACTTATTTGAAAGCATATATATCTGTGATCCAATAGGGACGGCTCATCAGATACATGCCAGTTACTTATCAGGTTCCGTATGTTGTTTGTCCCTAGTGTCAAATAAATAACCCCCTTCCTATTGCAAACCACAAAGGTAGGTTCATTACCATAGTTTAGAATATTCAGGTTCGAACTCACCAGAAATTCCATAAGGCTCTCTCCCCCTTGGGTTGGTGCCAGTGCTCCCCCACAAGATGTGGTGCATGTTGGCATCACACCCGTTGATGAGTTGCTTCTTCCTGCTAGAGCAGTAGTCTATGATGTCCCTCATTTCCTTAGTTGGCGGTGGTTCATCCGAGTCATATGGAAGGTAGACTGAAGCAACAATCAGCCCCTTGCTGCCTTCTTGATACGGGTATGTTATCCTTACTGCTGCTGTATCCCTAGAACAGAGCTCCAGCAAAGGCAAGGCATTAACATGAATCCTGATATAAACACAGGATCTTGCATCATTACTGGGTACAGCAGAGTAAACTGTTCCCCCTGTGTTAGTTAAGCCCCTTATTTGACCATTGTATAACCAAGGTTCCTGAATAAGTGCTATATCTGCCTTACCCTCAGCTAGCTGTTGGCACAGAGCTGCCGTGGCAGCTTTGCTGTGGTGTAGGTTAATCTGAAGAAAATTCATGATCTCTTCCAACTGAGGAGGGGTCAATTTCTATCTTATGTCCCTCTCCGTTCTCGGACTGGGTTCCGTGTGAAGGGTCCCCTGATCCGTTTTGCTTTAGTCATCCGGGGGGCTGGGTACTTCATCCTCTTCCTCTTCAGAGACCGAGTTAGAAGATGCAGTGTCTGTCACAGGTTCTACCCAGCACTGAACTTCAGGATCATCCAGCACCTTAACAGTCCCCTGTGAGAGTCCTGTAAATATTTTGTAACTGGTCCTCTGTATAATAGTATAGTAGTACTGGTCTATGAATAAGATAAGCCTTTGGCCTTTTGATTCAGATTGCTTGTCTAGTACCCTCCAGTTCTCTGTATGAAGTCCTGGATTAAGGTCTGCAACCCATTTCAGCAGCTCTTCCTGGTTATGTGCAATTTTGTCCCTAGCCCGGAGAGCTACTTTAACAGGCTTAGGCAGGTTCCTGGCATCAATAGCCTTCAGCCTGGTCCCTGATTTGAGCCTGCGGTTGTCAATGGCTTTGATGAGCCATTGAGCAGACTGTTGATCGACACACATATATAGATAAGTGCGCCTCCCAACAGTCTGTAGGATTTCAGGTGTGGTAGTTCTTCCTTTGGAGTCCTACGTAACACCTCGCCCAATGCTTCCAGAATGGAATTTTGGTCGTTTTCGGTAAGCTTATCCTCAGGGTAAGTGTCCTTGAAGATAGCTACCTTTATATTGGTCAGAGCCTCCTTGTAAGTCCCTGGGCTTTTTCAGAGTTCTGGCCATTTCTGTAGGGGTACTGCCCTCTAACCTTGGCCCCTTAAAGGTGCTGGTGGGGGTTTTTCCCTGCTTGGATGAGCTTGCATTTCCTGGTTGCTGACTGCTCCCAGTTCCTGCTTTGCTTGTCTCATCTTTTACCTTTTTCAACTTCCGTCTAGCGCATCCAGACTAAGCTTTCTTCACCAGATGGGGTCCACCTACTCCAGAGCCTAGGTGTCCCAGTCTTTCCTCTGCTGCAGGTATGTTAGAAGCACTGGCTCCCTGCAGTGGTGTGTCAGTACTACCGACCCCCAGGAGAGTAGTTTTTAATTTTGCCTCTGGCAAGTTTTGATTCATCCTTGCCTTTGGCTGAAATTTCAACAGCAGGTTCGCCAGTTGCAACTGGGCCCATTAATGGTTCATCAGAGNAACCCTCACAAGCCTCCAGGACCAAGAGTGCATGTTCAGGGGGAGAGGGGTATCCCAGATGATAAATGGGAGTGCGGTACTAGTTGTTATGAGGTTGCAACCAGGGTATCTTACACGAAATTATCACCCCTGGAGGTTGCTTCAGAGCTCCCCCATTCCCAGCCCTCCACATGGGTTTGTCAAAACCATTTTAGAGTGTTGAGCCCTAAGGCTTGCGGCACCTTATCGGTACTCTAGGGAGACAACTCAAATAGCTGTAGCTACCCCCATAGGAGTGCTCTCCTGCATTCGTGCCGGGTACATCATAATGAAACCCAAGAGTCATTATGCTGCCGCGAGGGAGGCTCTGGTCAAATAGCCATCACCCTTTATGGAAACTCGGCCGCCAGCCCCAGAAGCTCATGCTAATGCAGACCCCCAAGACTGTCATTGCCCAGCAGGATCACGAGGAGGTGTTCCAAAGGTGTGTCTCAACGCCACCCTGGTCTATGATACGTCCCCACCAAAGACACAGCCACCCTGCCATGCCAGGTGATTAGTATAGAACCATAGTCTACATGAGGTATCTCTTCTATGCTCAGGCCTCAGAGACTGAGTGAAGGAGTTCCAAGGGTGCTGTAGTTTTACCAAAATTATTTTGGCTTATGAACATTACTTTAATTACCTGCTGGTACTGGGAGCCAGGATAGTGTATTCGGTATAGCAACTGGCTACAGGCTGGATGACTGAGGGGTTGAAGTTTGAATCCTGGTAGGGTCAAGAATTATCTCTTCTCCACTCCGCCATGCTACCCAGTGTGTACCGGGGACTTTTTCCTTTGGGGTAAAACAGCTGGGGTATGAAGCTGACGACTCACCTCAATCTAGTGCCATGGTCAGGAAAATGTGGACAGAAACACCCCCCCCACACACACACACACACACACACATGTCTTCATGGCTTAGTGCTTGATTAGTTAGGTACAGGGACAGCTTTACTTTTTACCTTACCTGCTGGTACTGTTTCTTCATCAAGTTCCTTTTTACTGTCAGATGAGATTGCTTCATCAAAGTCACTCTTTCTAATGAAACTCTGTTCATTATCTTACGTAGTTCTCAGAATTTGTGCCATTGTGACAGTAATACTGATATACTGCTATTGCCTAGTAGGCAGTTCATTGTTTCTCTGGGTGGTCTGGTTCCTTCCATCCTCACTCCTTTCTTTCTGTCGAAGAACACCATCTTCTGGGATGTTATATCATATAGTGTAATTAAGCAGAGCCACTCTAGGGTTACTGTTTGACCCTGAAGATGGCTATATTGCATTGCTTCAGAATGTCAGTAAAGTCTAACCAGACTATACAGTGTAATGTCTCAGAAGATAATACTTTGTGTAGTTACTGCTATGAGAACCTTGAATCTTATTGTTTCTTTGGGTTACATTTCTACTAGTGCAGTAAGACTACCAGGTCACCGTCAATGTAAAAAATTTCTGTATGCAGTCTGACATTTGTATTGGTATATCATTTTTATTTGTACTGAGTTATGAATTTTGTGTCTTAGACAGGCACATATAGTCTCACATACAAATAACTCCTCCAAAACCATGGACACATGAGAAAACTTGTGTTTTCATCTTCATTTTGTTTCATTCAGACACTGTGGTTTCAGAACATACACGATCTTGAATCAGGGTGAATATTGTATTAAAATTCAATTCTTTATTATTTATGTGCTGAGTCAACAGTCGCAAGGCCAATTACAGACAGAGCACAGTGTAGATACAAGTAATTACATTATGGACAAACACAATAATGCAGAAAAGTAAACAAACAAACAAGTGATAATAATAGTAATAATAATAATTTCATTAACATAAATCTAAGTGTTATTAAGAACTGAGAAATGAAACATATAAATATTTAATTAAGGAACGAAAAGTATAGATTTTCAGAGAGGATATTAATAATAATTCAGTTTATTGTTGTTTAATGTACATGCAAATAATAATAATACTAACAATTATACTATATTTAAAAATTGTTTGGGGAGAACATTCCTGGCTCTGAATACGTCAACTTCCCTGCAAACAACATTAGCAGCTGCTGCACATCTAGCAGAGGGACAATTTTTAGTTGAGCAAACATTGAACAATGCAAAATCTCTGATATACCGAGCAGGAACTCGGTGACCAACGATTTCCAGAACAGAAGGGCAGAATTTCAAGCCAAAATGAACTTGAATAAGAAAGAGAGCATCAAGGCGATGTCTCCTAGTATGTAAAGTATGCAGTTTTAACTCCTCAAGAGCAAGAGAATAATTGTAATGAACTTAAGGAAAGAAACGATTAAAACAAAGGGCCGCAAACCTCTGCTGGATGCGTTCCAGCTTGTTGGCATCAGTTGACGTAGTCGAATTCCAGACTATGGACACATATTCAAGCTTAGATCTAATGAATAAGGCAGGACTAGAACCAGATCCTGCAAGCTAAGAATGATCCCTCTAGGGTCCCTGTATACAAGTAACTCATAGCAGGGAACATAACAGAAGTTTGTATAGAGCAGTGAGAAAATTAATATAGACTGGCTTAAAGTAGAGGGGCATTTTAGCATCATGAAACTGCAACAAACATCCTGCTGGACCTCATGTATGCCATCACAGTAGGTTGATAAAGGTTAGATCTAGATCAGTTGGCTACAGTACTGTGTAACTGTGTATAGAAGTGTTTGTACAGTTTTGTGTTGTCTTTTCATGTACCTGAATGATTCTTTCAGACGCTCCTCATATTACTGGCTTTGTAATGCCTTGGATATTTATTGCCCTGTACAGTGGGAATATGGGCGTTTAAATATGAACTACACCGTTGTTTCTAAGAGGAAAATTGCCAAGTTGATATCAGAAGGCACAGTGAAAGGTAAATCTTTTTTCTTTTTTTCCCTCAGAATAAACGGTGTTTATTGTTTCTGCATGTTTCTTCTTCATTTCACTCTTGTAAGCTCTTCATATCCACATTGCATTTAAACGTCTTGTGTTTCTAATCATTGGATGATTGAAATTTTCATTTCTAAGAATATGCATTTCATTTGTTCCACAATGATATAATAAGTATGCTTCTCACAGCCAGAGACTGCATATAGAGTGCACAGCGTGAAATTAGTTTCAGTATATAATGAAAGATAGCAGCAGTGATTAATATTATAAACAAAGTGAACATGAAAGTACATACAGAGTGATAAAGAAAGAGTATACATACTTCAATATACAAAATGTCTGCTTAAACAATTTATTGGTATACCTTTGGTTCAACATTGCAAATGTCTGTAGATGAGCTCAGTTGAAGGTTGTTATAGAGGTTAGCTCTGGACATTTTCAAAGTTGAACCAAAGATATACCAATAAACCATTTAAGTAGATATTTTATATATTGAAGTGTGTATACATTTTTTGAGTCCCTCTGTGCATTATAGATGAAGTGAAATAATGTAGAATTTCTTTCAAATTTTGTGTTTGTGTAATCATAAAATGCTGATACTTTAATGCCTGTTTGCCTTAAATAATCATTAGATAACTTTCTAACAGTTGTATATTATTAGTAGGCATGCCTGTGAGGTTCTGATTGGTGGAGAGAGTAAAGGAATGTAAATAAAATTGTTTCCGTAGGAAGTGAAATGAAAACATAAACCACAAATTACTAAAAGGATTGAAAGTAAATTTAAATGTTTAAAAGTTCAATGTGAAACAAATAAGTACTATTAGAATGTAAAACGACAGTATACAATGTATATTTGGAATAAATACTGACACGCACATGCATATGGATGCATACAAAAAAGAAAGAAAGTTGAATCCAACTGCTAAAATGAAGTTCTTAGAAATATGTAATGAGAAAGCCTAAGAATGCGGACTCAGGAATATGTGTATGTAAGTGATGAATAGAATAAAAATTGATAAATTAAGAAGGATTTAGACTTACATGTTCTGGTTGTTTGAAGAAAATTAAGGCAATTTGTGTATAGTGGTTTAAAATTAGAAACATAGGGGGTAAGACCTGGGAAGCCGGACAATATGGTAGATGAGCCAAGTGAGAGAGAGAGAAGTCAGTGACAGAAATGATATACTTGAAACTACTAGAGCATATACAAGTATGAAAACTGTTACATGATGCTTGCCCAAGAAGAATGTTTGTTCTGTAATTATTTTTATTAATTTGTCTTTGCATTGCCAGTTCTACTCTTGACATNAGAAGGGCAGAATTTCGAGCCAAAATGAACTTGAATAAGAAAGAGAGCATCAAGGCGATGTCTCCTAGTATGTAAAGTATGCAATTTTAACTCCCCAAGAGCAAGAGAATAATTGTAATGAACTTAAGGAAAGAAACGATTAAAACAAAGGGCCGCAAACCTCTGCTGGATGCGTTCCAGCTTGTTGGCATCAGTTGACGTAGTCGAATTCCAGACTATGGACACATATTCAAGCTTAGATCTAATGAATAAGGCAGGACTAGAACCAGATCCTGCAAGCTAAGAATGATCCCTCTAGGGTCCCTGTATACAAGTAACTCATAGCAGGGAACATAACAGAAGTTTGTATAGAGCAGTGAGAAAATTAATATAGACTGGCTTAAAGTAGAGGGGCATTTTAGCATCATGAAATTGCAAGAAACATCCTGCTGGACCTCATGTATGCCATCACAGTAGGTTGATAAAGGTTAGATCTAGATCAGTTGGCTACAGTACTGTGTAACTGTGTATAGAAGTGTTTGTACAGTTTTGTGTTGTCTTTTCATGTACCTGAATGATTCTTTCAGACGCTCCTCATATTACTGGCTTTGTAATGCCTTGGATATTTATTGCCCTGTACAGTGGGAATATGGGCGTTTAAATATGAACTACACCGTTGTTTCTAAGAGGAAAATTGCCAAGTTGATATCAGAAGGCACAGTGAAAGGTAAATCTTTTTTCTTTTTTTCCCTCAGAATAAACGGTGTTTATTGTTTCTGCATGTTTCTTCTTCATTTCACTCTTGTAAGCTCTTCATATCCACATTGCATTTAAACGTCTTGTGTTTCTAATCATTGGATGATTGAAATTTTCATTTCTAAGAATATGCATTTCATTTGTTCCACAATGATATAATAAGTATGCTTCTCACAGCCAGAGACTGCATATAGAGTGCACAGCGTGAAATTAGTTTCAGTATATAATGAAAGATAGCAGCAGTGATTAATATTATAAACAAAGTGAACATGAAAGTACATACAGAGTGATAAAGAAAGAGTATACATACTTCAATATACAAAATGTCTGCTTAAACAATTTATTGGTATACCTTTGGTTCAACATTGCAAATGTCTGTAGATGAGCTCAGTTGAAGGTTGTTATAGAGGTTAGCTCTGGACATTTTCAAAGTTGAACCAAAGATATACCAATAAACCATTTAAGTAGATATTTTATATATTGAAGTGTGTATACATTTTTTGAGTCCCTCTGTGCATTATAGATGAAGTGAAATAATGTAGAATTTCTTTCAAATTTTGTATGTGTGTAATCATAAAATGCTGATACTTTAATGTCTGTTTGCCTTAAATAATCATTAGATAACTTTCTAACAGTTGTATATTATTAGTAGGCATGCCTGTGAGGTTCTGATTGGTGGAGAGAGTAAAGGAATGTAAATAAAATTGTTTCCGTAGGAAGTGAAATGAAAACATAAACCACAAATTACTAAAAGGATTGAAAGTAAATTTAAATGTTTAAAAGTTCAATGTGAAACAAATAAGTACTATTAGAATGTAAAACGACAGTATACAATGTATATTTGGAATAAATACTGACACGCACATGCATATGGATGCATACAAAAAAGAAAGAAAGTTGAATCCAACTGCTAAAATGAAGTTCTTAGAAATATGTAATGAGAAAGCCTAAGAATGCGGACTCAGGAATATGTGTATGTAAGTGATGAATAGAATAAAAATTGATAAATTAAGAAGGATTTAGACTTACATGTTCTGGTTGTTTGAAGAAAATTAAGGCAATTTGTGTATAGTGGTTTAAAATTAGAAACATAGGGGGTAAGACCTGGGAAGCCGGACAATATGGTAGATGAGCCAAGTGAGAGAGAGAGAAGTCAGTGACAGAAATGATATACTTGAAACTACTAGAGCATATACAAGTATGAAAACTGTTACATGATGCTTGCCCAAGAAGAATGTTTGTTCTGTGATTATTTTTATTAATTTGTCTTTGCATTGCCAGTTCTACTCTTGACATTAGCAGAAAGTATAATTGGTACTTTCGTTTCAGATTGGGATGATCCTCGTTTATTTACACTAAGTGCACTTCGGAGGCGCGGATTTCCACCTGAGGCTATCAACAACTTCTGTGCCCATATGGGTGTGACAGGAGCTCAAGCTGTTGTGGATCCTCAGATGCTGGAAGCATTTGTTCGTGACATCCTTAATACCACTGCCCAAAGGTACCAGCATTATTGACTTATCTGTTCTTAGGTTGTTTCACAATACTTTTCCAACTGCAGAAGTTAGCAAGAAATCAGGTGAGAAGATTGTATGAATGGCAAGTAGAAAAGAATGCGGAAGTAAATAACTCTGATCCATTGGTAGTCACTGTTTGAACAGTCACTTAGTGTTGATTCCATAAATGCAGCTGAGATTTGGAAATAGTAGGCCATATAATTTTGTATTTAGACAATCAGGATTTTCAAAAGGAGAAACAGAAGAGATTTGTAAATGTATGAATACAATGAAATCATAAATACAGGATTAAATGTGTTGTATGAAATGTACTCAGAAAAGTAGTTTTTTATATGCTGTATAAAATGAGATCCAAAAATTAGGGTCTGTTAAGTTTGTTATATGTGAGTTGTGACTTCTGATGATCAATGATTTTGCTTTTCAGGGCTATGGTTGTTCTGGAACCACTGAAAGTGAAAATAGTAAATTTTCCTCTACCTAAAACAACAGACATACAAGTCCCAAATTTCCCCAGTGATCCACAGCAAGGATTTCACTTCGTGCCATTTAGTGAAGAACTGTATATTGAACGAACTGACTTTAAGGAGGTAAGAAATTCCAGCAAAATACTTCTGTTTCCATTCCTTTGTTGAGGTGAACTCAGCATTGGATTACATTCTGCTGGGTTAAAAATAGAAGATAGCTTGAACATGAATAATTTATGTTCATCAAGAAAAATCTTCATACTCTTGTCACATTAATTATGAAAGAAAGCAGCCGTGGATCAGAATTTTTTACAAACAGAATTTTTCCAAAATAAATTTGTGTTGGAATAATATGTATGACACAACAGATTCTGGTCTGATATGGGTGAGATCATCAAATGAATGAATTTCCCAGTATAACATATGGGGGTTTGATTCCCAGCAAGAGTACAGCATCCAAAATGACCGTGGGGCCCATACATCCTCCTGTCCAAAGGATACTGGGGACTTTTTCCCCGGGTGGTGGGGGTGGTGATAATGCGGCAATAGTGGGAAGCTGACTCACCTCCAACTAGGGCCGAGGTTCAGCATGATGGTGCTATACCTCCACTTCTCCATACAATGAAAATTTTATCTCCACTTTCATGCCCAAACTGCCTCTGGGGCTTAGATGTCTCTTATTCAGTTGTTCATAGGGTTATTTCCCTGGAGGTAAACCAGCTGGAGCATTTTCCTTACCACTCACCTCCATCTTGTGCCCTGGTTAACCTTTAACATCCAAATGACACATATATATGACGCAAGCAGCAACCTGAATTGGCTGAATGGCACATATATGTGACGCAGGACACGTGCACTCTTTAGGAGTGCTGACAGTTTGACCTTGGGTTTGAAACCAAAACAAACCTACGTGAGGTCATGTCATTGGTTCATTCCTTAGCTCTGAACAAAGAAATCGTTTATCTCGGTCCTGGTATCGAAACTATTTATGCTTATATATGACTGTTTATGACCTGGTCAGCCAAATATAGCCCAGCTTTGTTCTGAGAACTGAAAGAGGAAATATTCATCAGTGCTTGCAGATCAGCGCTTCCAGAGCTTTCAAGTTAGTGTGACATATTCAAGGATTGTTTTTCAATGGCGAATTATCAGTTAGGATGTCAGTGTTGGATTGTGTAATATTTCTTAAGTTAGTGTCAAGACTGTCATATACAAGGTGTGGCAATAAAGAAACCGGATTACTTTTATGACTCATTTCCGGCCACGTCATTGACGAAGAGGAGGGTAGGGCATTGACCCTTGGACTTCCCTCTACCGTCACACAAAGTTTCATTCACGTGCATCGGTTAGTCTGGCCGCGACCATTGTTAGAAGCGGATCGTGTTTCTGAGCTCCGTCGGAATAATGCTGAGTGCTAATGCAGAACAACGTGCTAACATCAAATTCCTCACAAAACTTGGAAAATCTGCCACTGAAACTTACAATTTGTTGACAGAAGTATATGGTGATCAGTGTCTATCTCGCACGCAAGTTTTCGAGTGGTTTAAGAAGTTTATGGAGGGTAGGAAAAACGTCGGGAACGATCCAAAATCGGGCCGTCCTCCCACTGCGAAAACTCCAGAGAATGTGGA